ATACCATCCCCCCTTGGGTAGCATCCCACTGTAGTAAGACAGTTATAAACAGCCCGCCTTATCTCCCAGAGTGTGAGTGCCTCACCAGGGGTGAGGGATCCCGACCCCACAGATCTAACAAATGTAAACATGTTCCCAGGGATTTATAACCTCACTCCCCTATTACGTGGCATGCAAGTAACAATAAGGGCACATCAGACCCCGCACCCTTTGAGTCACTGAGCATACAGGGGGGACAGTTACTCAAGACGGCCACTTCCAATGAGTCTGTTACCATACCAGCATGTCTGTCTTATATGGAAACTGAGGAAAGGCACTGAGGGCAAGGGGGTGTCCTGTCAGTACAGGAGAAGCCGGTGGTGAAGGACGAACCTGACATAGTCATACAAGTCGTATAGGCGGTAGAAGGTAATGCCATCAGTCGCTTAGCTCAGAGTTCCCTTGCCTCCCTGCTACCGGAGGGAGTGCCACGAAGGAAGGAGCGCTGGCGAGGCCTCGACCTCCTCACAAGCCTCGGGGTGGATGGGTCCGGCACAGGGCGATCCATGGAGAAGTCGAGCCAGTTTGGAACGCTTACCACCTCTGCTTCCAGAAACGTGAATAGGTCCGGAAGTTGCTGTGGGTCGTGGAGATGGAAGCTTCTGTTCTTTCTGGAAACAATCAGGTGGAATGGGTGTCCCCACCTATAGGTTGCTCCTGCTATTCGCACAACATCCAGCACCGGTCTCAGATAGCGCCTCATCCACAGAGTGTGGCGTGAAAGATCTGGCATAATCTGGATCCTGGCCCCATCAAAGCCCAAGGGGCCCTTGTTCCAGGCCTCTTTCAGTGAGTAAAAATGGACTCTGCAGAGAACGTCACGTGGCATCCCTGCGGGTCACGAAGCCCAGAGTCCAGCGGGTCACGAAGCCCAGAGTCCAGCGGGTCACGAAGCCCAAAGTAATGCGGGTCACGAAGCCCAGAGTCCAGCAGGTCACTTATCTTATCACTGCGTCCAGTGGGTCAGGAAGCCCAGAGTCCAGCGGGTCACTTATCCCAGAGTCAAATTTATATACTGTTCTGCATTGCTGTATACATTTATTGCTGGGATTTGTAGTCCCCCCACAGCCGGTGTCATTGTGCATTAGAGTGTAAGCTCCTCTGTACAGAGACTGATGTGACTGGCTCAGTGTTCTCTGTACAGTACTGAGGTATATGGCAGAGCTAAATAAATATATAATAACAGTGTGACTGGCTCAGTGTGGCGGCGGTGCGGGGGTGGGCCTGACCTAAAGCCTTGTAAGGGGCCCCAAAATTTCTGATGGCTGGCCTGACAGGGACACATAGAGAGGGGCGACTCTCCCTAACAGGGACACAGACAGCACTAAAAACATAAAATGTCTTCTAATCCTTCTCCATTCATCCAAAAAAAAAAAATTTCAGCTTCTGTTTCACTAAATCCCCAAAACCTGATCCATCCTCTGACAGCAGAATACACGTGGAATAAAAACATGGCCGCTGCAATTTTGATGTCACATGATATCAGTACAATCAGTGGTGTATTTAGATTTTGTGCTGCCCTAGGCAAGCTTAGACTTGGGCGCCCCCCCAATCTAAATTTGCCCCAACCCTACCTGTTTAAAACGCGTGGTAAAACATTTCCTGCGTTCCATTGCACTGCAAACGCAAAAAATAGAGCATGCAGCATTTTTTGCATTTGCAGTGGAAAGGAACGCAGGAAGTTTTGTGCCATGCGTCTGAACGCACTGTGGTGGGAGGGAGCGTGGCTGCAGTTACATTGACTTCAATGCATCGCCACGCCCCCTCCCGCCCCAGAACGCAGGGGGAAGTTTGTGAGCAATTGCGGTGCGTTCCAGCAGCTCCCGCTCTGGAACGCAACGCATGGGGGGGGGGAGAGGGCACCCCCGTGAAATGAGAGGGACACCTCCCTGAAATTGCTTCTTTCAGATTGGGATCCCTGCATACAACAGTACAACATTGAACGCTGCTCTGCCTGAACCCATTCCATGTGATTCTCACACATGAAGCAAACTCAGTACTGTGCTCACCCCCCGTCGATCCACTTACCTTACAGGTGACCAGGTGACCCCTCTATACTGTGCTCCCTCCAAGTTTCCCTGTGTGCAGAGCGGGGCAGCCATCTGTCATAAAGTCCCGCCGCTGACGAGAACTCCCGCCGCTGACTAGAACTTGTGCCGCCTCCTCCCATCACCGCGTCACTTCCTCCGATCACAGAGCCGCTCTTCCCTCACTGCAGCATGATCGGTATTGTGGCCGGCTGCAGTGAAGCAGTGATCGCTTCTCTACTGGGCTCACCCCTCCCGTCATCTGTGCCCGGCACCCGCCCTCTCCTCCACAAGCAGGCTCCGTGCGTGACACGGAGCTTTTACGGTGTGAGACAGACTTTCACAGTACAAGGCGTTTGCCTAGGGCCGCCCCCCTGGAAAGTGCCGCCCTAGGCAAACGCCTTGTTTGCCTCTCGGTAAATACGCCCCTGAGTACAATTGTATAAAGTTCTATTGTCAGTAAAATACATTCAAAGTGATTTTAGTGACACAATAAAATGTGAAATGTTCTGTAAATGATAAAAGATGAGACTGAATCCAGGAAATAGATCCCAGAAATGTCTGCACCTAATACTGCATGAGGCTGCAACACAGCAGCAACTATGAGACCCAAAACTGTCCATAGGTGAGGATATAAAACCTTCACAGCTCATCAATTTATAGATCACTGTTACTGATTGTTCTCCAATCGTTCCTCTTACTATGACGTGTTCATCAATATGTAATATGTGTCTCCAAATCATCATTTACATACTCTTATGTACCGTATGTGTGTATTTGCCTTCATATGTGTGCGGGGGCGGGTGCTTTAACTTTTGTTTTGTTTTTTATTTATTTTAATAAATGTATAATTTTTCCAATAAATTTTCCACTTTTCATTTTTCCAATAAACGTTATTGTTATTACAAGGAGGCTGGCAATCCTCCATTTAACCACCTGCTGTCCGGCCATGGTAATTAAACGTCTGGACAGCGGCTTCTTGAGAGATGTCCCATCCCGTCCCGCTCGTGCCTGCCGCTAGGCGGCGCGCACGAACGGGAAATCGTAAATGTTTACATACAAGCGTTCAGTCGTCTGTAGAGACGCCCGATCACTTGTAATTCCGTGCGGGTGTGCCCCCCCCCCTCCGCCGCAGCCGGTGATCCTGGGCTCCGCTGCTCCCAGTGTGAGCCCGGGACCAGCACAGCAGCCATGCGGCTGGAGATCAAACGGAGCTCAGTACACGAGCTTCGTTTGATCTCCTCCTCCTCTTCTGAATGCAGGCAGTGATGTGTATTACATCACTTCCTGCATTCAGTGTCACTCTCGGGTACAGAAACCGGAGAGAAGCTGGTGAAGCAGGTCTCTGCTTCATCAACTTCTCTGGGGGTCCCTAGGTGACATTAGGGGTCCTAAAGACCCCTGAGGTCTCCATAAAGAGGACCTGTCACTGCAAATTGGCTATCACATAGGGAGCTTGTTTTCTCCCTATGTGATAGCAATAAAGTTAAGTTAAAAAAAAAGTTTAAAAAAAAAAATAAAAAAATTTAAAGTCACATATCAAAGCAATAAAAAATAAATAAAATTAAAGACCCCCGCCCCCACATGCACACATGCGTCGTGTCCGCCTACGTGCGAAAACGACGATTACATCCATTGCGCCGCACATGTTACATATCACCGCAAACGTCGGAATGAGAGCAATAATTCTACGGCCATCAATCGCTGATAACACTAAACTGATGAGCGGTAAAAGCTTTTAAAGTGTCGGCTGTGGTCAATTTTGGGTGTGGTAGTTTTTTGCGATATAGCGGGTGCGCACAATTTTAAAGCTTGACATGTTTGGTGTCTATTTACCCGACGTGACCCCGACTTTTATATTTTACCAAAAAATTGGGTAATAATAAATGTTTTATAACATAAATTGGCTATCACATAGGGAGCTTGTTTTCTCCCTATGTGATAGCAATAAAGTTAAGTTAAAAAAAAAGTTTAAAAAAAAAAATAAAAAAATTTAAAGTCACATATCAAAGCAATAAAAAATAAATAAAATTAAAGACCCCCGCCCCCACATGCACACATGCGTCGTGTCCGCCTACGTGCGAAAACGACGATTACATCCATTGCGCCGCACATGTTACATATCACCGCAAACGTCGGAATGAGAGCAATAATTCTACGGCCATCAATCGCTGATAACACTAAACTGATGAGCGGTAAAAGCTTTTAAAGTGTCGGCTGTGGTCAATTTTGGGTGTGGTAGTTTTTTGCGATATAGCGGGTGCGCACAATTTTAAAGCTTGACATGTTTGGTGTCTATTTACCCGACGTGACCCCGACTTTTATATTTTACCAAAAAATTGGGTAATAATAAATGTTTTATAACATAACGTAGGGAGAACAGGTTTTTTTCAAAATTTTCTGTACTTTTTTCATTATATAGTAAAAAAAAAACCCTGTAGTGGTGATTTAATACCACTAATAGAAAAGCTCTATCTGTCCCCCAAAAAATTGTATAAAATGTATTTCAGTGCAGCGTTGCATGACGGAATAAATGTCAGTCAAAGTACCGCAGCGCTGAATACTGAAAAATGGCTGGGACAGGAAGGGGGTATAAACACCCCGGTCAGCAAGTGGTTAATAGCCTATTTGGAGTGACAGGTACTCTTTCCAGAGGCATCAGATGTCTCATGGACCTCTAATGCCTCCTCTGCACTACCCCAGCTAGACTGAGCACAGACTGTACTTGACGAACTGTTTTCCTGGTCACAATATAACATCTCTGAACCTGGAGGTGCTCAGAGCTGAGTTCTTCCGGGTTCATTGCTCCTAGGAGAGAAAAAAAACTGATGTTTCTCCTCCCCTCCACTTACCTGATAGGGATCATAGATGTCCCGGCTCCCAGAGGGGGAGAAATTCATATTCTTCTGGTAACATTCTTCTCTTCTTCTACAGTTTGTGTGGTAATCATCTGACAGACATGTCCTGCCCCGACCTGGCATCTGGAATAAGAAATAACCAGACACTGAGGACACTGAGCCTGAATAATAACAATCTGGAGGGTCCTCATTTCAGGGATCTGATGGAAGCTCTGACAACAAGCCAGATAGAGGAATTACAGTGAGTATAGCAGGACTGACTGAGACAATAATATTCTAGGACAGTGTTATATCCTATATATAAATAAATGATAAATATGATGATGTCATCACTTGGATAACTAGTAATATAGATGATATTATCGGAGGTCATACACGGGGGGATCTGATCTCACTGTAGGGAACAATCAGAGTCTCACATACATTTTCTTATACCTGAAATGTCCGCCTGCTCTCCAGTATTGGGGGATCTCTCTATTACTTCCTATGAGTACAGAGCTCTGATCAGTAAATGATCAATAGAATATCAGATAAAAGTTATACATCTGATGTGTGCTTGTGGTATGTCCAAAACTCATCATACTCCATGTGGATGTTGTGTCACAGTGTATGGCTTGTAGTGTGACATCTTTACCCCTTTTTAGGGTCTGGGGGATCACTGAGGAGATTGTTGGAGGGAATAATCCCCACTGCAAAGTAAAAAGAGAAAGGTGACATACTACTACCATACACTGTGAGGAAACATCCACTTCCTGAACACGCACACGTCTGGACACACAGTACATGCCGCATTGTTCTTCTCACCCCAATCCACACCCCTAATATCTCATATTGTACTACAATCTCCTTGTGTTTGGTGTATGAGGTGTATCAGCAGACAGGAAGGCCCGAAGCGAGAAAAAAAAAAAAGCGCAGGGCATACATGACAAGGTGTATAGGGGAGACAAGCTAAAGGGTTAACGAGGGTTCGGTCTTGGGGACATGGTCACTTACCTTATTGGACAGGTCAAAAAGGTTAGGTGGGGCTTGAACGGTGGTCTGAGGAGGAGGGTCTTTTCTGCAGCAGTTGGAGAATTTCTGAGGTAAAGTGAACTTCAACTTCCTTGTGGCTGAACTTGACCTCTGGCTTTAGGCCCTGAGGGGAAAAGAAACAGGGAGATGAGTGAATTGGACCACTTATTGGGGGACTTGCGTTCCCTGGCTGACACTCGAGCCTCTGCCTGGCTGCAGGAGCAGCTAACATTGATGCTTCAGGCTGCCCCCCTCCCCCCACTCAGACTGTACAGGCCCCACGCGCTTGGAGGTCCCGGCCTCTGGTGCGCTTTAGCCCTACATCATCCCCCAGGGCTCAGCGCCGCACAGGGAGCCCCAGCAGGGACCCTCCACCCCCACCGGCCAAGCGCATGCCTGCTTCTGCCGGCGCCGGGCGTGGGAGGCGCGTTTTCAATTCCCAGCCCTGCTCCCCCCGGCTCTCTCCTGTGTCCCCAGAGTGCCCGACAGCAACCTGCATCCACCTCCTCTGGTGATGGTCCTGCCAGGGAGGTGCCCCGACGAAGAATGGCCTCTGTTGCGGGCGCCGGTCCCTCCCATGAGGCGGCCGGGGGCCCTCGCCTGGGTCCTCAGTGTGAGCTGCCCTCAGCTGTGCCTGCATCGATGGCTGGAGGAAGGAAGAGGATCTGCGCGCAGTCTTCATCCCAGGGACAGCCCATTCGGGGTGAAGTGGTGACCTGGACCCGGATGGGGTCACGCATCGGGACAGTGACAGCAGGTCAGAAGGGGAACTGTCGGATTCCGAGGATGGCGTTGTGGAAGCGCGGCGGCCGGAAGCTGGACCTGCGCCTGGCGGGTCTGACCCTGTGCAGCCTGTTGCGTGCCTGTCTTCTTCTCTTATTGATTTATTAGGGTCTGTGTTAAAAGCGGATTTGGGTGGGGGGCCTAGTTGGTGTGTCGGGTCTGGTTAGCTGGTTCGGGGGTGTTGGCCTCTCCGGTGGTGGAGCAGCACCCTGTGCAGGGGCTACAGGGTCTATTGGGGGGTTTGCAGCATTTGTTGGCCAAGTTAGGGTCAGGTTCATCTGGGTCCCCAGTGGCAGCTTGGCAGCAAAGGGCCCAAGGTCCGGCTCCGCCTGGGGGCTCAGTGGGGGTACAATGCAGGGCGCTATTGGCTCAAGGGGTGATGGTAGGGGAACCAGAGGTTCGACAGGGTTTAGCGTCCAGCGCTGGAGAGTCGACTGCGGTGGAGTCATCGGTGGAAGTGATTCAGCAGGGTAAGTCGACGGATGTCGATAAGAGTGGGGGCAAGGTTCTTTTGGCCGATTCAGCCAAATGTGAGGTGTACGGTCTGTTTTGAGGGTCCTTTAGGAGCCCATTTAAAACCGGAGGTGAGGGAAAAAAATATGGAAGGGTGAGTATGTGGAAATCTTTACTCTCCTCCCTCTAGAAAAATGTAACTTAGATAGGTTAAAGCCGGAAGATAAAAAGAGAATGAGGAACGGCGTCGGTATAGGCTTATCCCGCGCACGTTCGCCAATTGGCTGCAGGCGTTTGCTATCTTGGCAAGCATTGTTGGGGAGAGGAACCCTGAGCATTGCTCGGCTCTTTTTTGTTATCTGGATGCTATTGGCGAGGCCCATAGGGTTTATGGCGGGTTGGCCTGGCTTCGGTACGATGAGCAGTTCCGCCAACGTAAAGCAGTGCGGCCGCAATTACATTGGGACCACAAGGACATCAGCCTTTGGATGAAACTGATGACATCGGCTTCGCAGTTTTTTCCAGGGTGGGGGGTCGGGGGTGCCTCCGCCTCAGGACCATCGGCTGCTAAGAAAAAGGGGTTTTGCTGGCAATTTAACGAGGGATCCTGTAAGTTTGGGGCCAATTGCAGGTTCAAGCATGAGTGCTCCGGTTGTGGGGGGGTCCCATGCTTTTTCCCGATGTTTCAAGCAAGGTAAGAGCCGTTCCGGCGACTCTGTGGGCAAGAGGGACGACGCCAGTGACAGTAGCAAGGATGTATCCTTTTCTAGATAGGTACCCGGATAGGGCGGCAGCGGCCTTGTTGGAGGATGGTTTTACGGTTGGTTTTCCTATTCCTTGTTCTCTCAAGTCGGTTCCTCCACTTCCCAAAAACCTGCGGTTTGCGTTTGAGCGCCCTATAGTGGTATTGATAAAACTAGAAAAGGAGGCGAGTTTGGGCCACATGTGCGGGCCTTACTTGGCATCGCCCTTGCCCGATTTGGTGGTCTCGCCTCTTGGCTTAGTGCCCAAAAAGGAACCGAATAAGTTTCGGTTGATTCACCATTTGTCGTCATTTCTGCACGGGGGATCTGGTAATGATGCGATTGACCCGGGTTGTTGTATACCTCTTTTGATGTGGTCGTCTATTGGGTCCGGCGTTATGGACAGGGTTCTCTTTTAGCTAAGATGGATATTGAATCTGCCTTTCGTCTGTTGCCTGTCCATCCGCAGAGTTTTAGGTTGTTGGGTTGCTTCTGGCAAGGTTCGTATTATGTTGATCGCTGTATGCCGATGGGTTGTTCGATCTCCTGTGCTTATTTTGATAAGTTTAGTTCCTTTTTAGAATGGGTGGTGCGAGACGTGTCAGGTATTACCTCGGTTATTCATTACCTTGACGATTTTTTGTGTATCGGTCCTCCCTCTTCCAACGTGTGCAGTGTTTTGCTCGGCTCGTTGCAGCATGTTGCTGACCGTTTTGGGGTTCCCTTGGCTCCGAAAAAAACATGGGTCCCTCCACAGTTTTGAGTTTCTTGGGCATTGAAATCGATACAGATCGCATGGAATGTCGTTTGCCGGCGGATAAATTGGAGGATTTGAAAGTTGTCATTCAGGATGTGGTCGGGAAACGGAAGATTCAGTTACGTCCATTGCATTCTTTGATAGGTAAACTGAACTTCGCTTGCTGAATTTTGCCGATGGGCAGGATATTTTGTCGTCGCTTGGCCGCGGCCACCGCGGGTGTTAAAAAGCCTAGTCATTTTGTCCGGTTGACTCGAGATCTCCGTGAGGATTTGAGAGTTTGGTTTCTGTTCCTGGAGTCCTTTAATGGAAGGTCGGTTTGGATGGAGGGTCCCGTGAGCAATTTTGACCTTGAATTGTTTACTGATGCGGCCGGATCAACTGGTTTCGGTGCTTATTTCCGAGGCAAGTGGAGTGCTGGGGAGTGGCCTAGTGCGTGGAAGGCGGCTGGGTTTTTGACTAACATGGTGCTTCTTGAGTTGTTCCCAGTTGTCTTAGCAGTAGAGCTTTTGCGGGGCTTCATTTCAGAACAGGAAGGTGCGTTTTAATTGTGACAACATGGGGGTGGTATTCGCCATTAATCGTAATTCAGCTTTATCGCCCCCGGTAGTCAGGTTATTGCGACATTTGGTGTTGCGCTGCTTGCAATTGAATACCTTTATTTATGCTGTGCATCTTCCTGGTTTGAGTAACTTAGTGGCTGATTCTTTGTCTCGATTCCAGTGGGACAGGTTCCGAGCGTTGGCACCGGGAGCGGAGCAACAGGGCGTTCCTTGTCCCCAGCATTTATGGAACGTGGCGCTGGAGTGATTGATGGTTTGATCAGGCGTTCGGTGAGTGCGTCCACGTGGTCTGTGTATTCCAAGGTGTGGAACGACTGGTGGGACTTCTTGCGGGTGGCAGGTACACGTTCCTTGGATGATGTTGGGCCTGATCTGGTGCTTTATTATGCGAGTCACAACTTTGTTAATGGGGCATCCGTGTCGTCCATGGATCGAAAATTATCTGGCTTGGCCTTTTTGTTTAAACTTTTGGGTGGCTTAGACTATACGAAGGATTTTCAGGTCCGGCAGGCCATGAAGGGTTACAGGAGGGGTCTTAGGAAACCGGATGCTCGTCGACCGGTGTCTTTTGCTATTTTGGGTGATCTCATTGTCCAGTTAGGATTAATATGCTCTACTGGTTTTGAGTCGGTTCTGTGTACTGCGGCTTTTGCTTTGGCCTTTTTTGGAGCATTGCGTATCAGTGAGCTGGTTAGTCCCTCAAAATCGGTCCCAGGTGGGTTGCAGGTGGGGAACGTGTTGCCGGTCGAGGACTCAGTTCCTTTGTTTATTCGGCGTTCAAAGGCTGACCAGAGGGGAAAAGGGGTGAGTTTATATTTGTTTCGGATTCTAGGATTCCCTGTATGTCCGGTGGGTGCGGTGGAGCGGTACTTGAGCTTGCGCCCGTCACTGGGTGGGCCTTTTCTTTTGCATGCGGATGGCACATTTTTGT